GTGCTACCACGCCCGGCTGATTTTTTGATTTATTGTAGAGATGAGGTCTTGCTGCCCAGGTGGGTCTCGAACCCGCAGCTCAGGCAATCCCCTCACCTCAGCCTCCCAAAGGCGTGGGATACATTTCTTTTACACTCTCTCCAGTGGTTACAAGAGTACAAACTCCAGTGTGGAGATCCAATAACTGCCCATAGAGTGCATATTCCATAAAGAAAATAAGTGACATTGAAAATTGTATCGCCGCGCCACTTCTCTTTTTAATTTTCTTTTCAGCATCCTTCATTTTTGTGGCCATGATACTGTTTGTGGGGAACACCCAGTCCAATCATCTCTCCGAAGAGTTGTCCCAGACACTTTATCCAACGGTCACTAGCAAAGGAACGGCCCACAGTTACGGATACTCATTTTGGCTGATACTGCTTGTCATTTTTCTAAATATAGTCACCATTGTCATCATCATTTTCTACCAGAAGGCCAGATACCAGCGGAAGCAGGAGCAGAGAAAGCCAATGGAATATGCTCCGAGGGATGGAATTTTATTCTGAATTCTCTCTCGTGTGATTTTGACATGCTGTCTGTTCTACTGCCTGAGCGGAAACTGGTGAGTTTATTTGGACAATCAGCATGGTGAAGTGACTGTCACTGGTGATAGCTTTTGTGCTTCATGACACTGTGTTCCTCATAGACACTGAACCCTTGAAAAGAGTTTTTCCCACAAGGTTGGAGACAAATGAATTGCAAAGATCACCAGTCTATGTCGTGTTCAAAGCAGTGAATGCTCGTAAGCGAAAGCATTCTTCTGACCCGGTCTGACTATTTGAAATAATAAAGGTTTGTATTATGCACCTTTCCTTTGAGTAGCTCAAAGCACTTTAGCATCTCTGACCTCCTTCCCCTCAGGAGGGACCAGGTATTTTTATTCGACTCTTTGAATGGAGACTTCTAGGTACAGAGGGATTCAGAACTCATATTTCCAGGACCAGGTGCTAGGGGCAAAGGACAGACTTCAGAGTCCATGACTCGGTTCTTTGGACTCTCAATTGCTGATATAACTCAAACCCATCCATGAATACATGTACTCAAAAGTGTTCCTCACACACATTGAAGTTTGAGAATGGGGTTTGAGGAGGGGAGAGATTAGAAGTGCAAAGATCAGAGAAAGATAAAAATGAAAGCCCTGTGGTCTGTATGCTAAAAAGGCTAAATGTGTTTTTGGTTTAACAAGATTGTAGTGAATTTAGTCAGAATGGAGATGAAACATTGCAGCAAGTTCTGGCCACCACCCTGTCAACCAGCCCTCTGCTGAGTTACTGTGGTATGGACATGGGTGTAGTTGGTCAGATGTAAGTGTATCATCCATCAGCAGACTCCTTCCCACCAGAGGTAGAGGAAAAAAATGGGTTAGAACACCATGGCTTGCAGGCATTCATTCCCCAAGTTAGAGCTGGGCAAACATGGAACACAGGGCTTGGGTAGACCTTTGAGAACAGACTGGATGAAATTGGTTCCCAGTTTCAGAAGAAGCCAGTGAGTAACCAGGAAAATTTAAAAGGATACCAGAACAGATTCAACCTACTTTGCCAGCGGATATTTTCCCAAAAAACCACTTTGAGAATGTTTTGAACTTGACTCTTTCACAAGTTAGCCAGGTTGAACATTGATAGGATTCTGAAATGATCATCTTTGATCACATGTCTATGGAACTATAACCGAAAGGAGCAGAATTCCCTGGGTGTAATTTGCAGAGCAGCAGCTCTTTGGACAGAAGAATAAATCGTTTATGAGGCTATTAGGGATTAATGACCTGCTTACTTATTATTAACACTCCGTCTTAGAAATAATATTTTTCCAGTTGTATTGTGCATTGGATACCTGGAATGTAGCTAACAGTACTAACCAGGGTATTTGCCCCCACGGAACTTACTGCTGGGAAATCAAGGCAAACATTCAAAAAGTAATTGCTATATTTTATTTGAAACAAACACTTAGTCACAAAATTGTGCTCATTCTTTGAAAGGTTAGTTCTCTGTCACTTCTTGCCCTAAAGTCCTGTTAATTCAAAGTTGCTGTAATAAATTAACTTATGAAACTTAGAACATACTTTTAAAAATCTGATCACCAACAGTGAAAAAATTTTAAATTATTTGAATCTGGAAGAATTTACATGTTTTGAAAGTTTGAATTTGTTATCAGATTTTGATAATATGAACATGTAATAAAGAGCAAATTGATACAGGTAACAAAACCACCCAAACGGTTGCAGATAGGCATTCATGGAATGTGTGAGTGCAAATGGAATCATATAATAGAAAGAGAACTGAGTTTATGCATCTCAGCACTTGAGCAGAGCCTGGTTTTCTTAGGGAACAAATGGTATTAGTTCTTATATCAGATGACCTTTAAGGAACCACTTGAAACAGAAATCAGGTGCATGGAACTATGTTTCACAATTTGGGAGATGAAGGGAATGCCCCCCATTTAACATGTTTTAAGGCAGAAGACAACGAAACTACATGTTCGTAGTCTATAGAATCCCTGTAAAGCAAGGAGAAGACTGGCGTACTATTCACAAGCACATGCGGCAATGAAGGGTACCACACAGGCCTCCTTGCCCCAGCCTACATGAGATGGGTCTGTTAGGAATTGTTCATAGCCCAATGAGCCTTTTTTTGGTCAAGGAAAAAAAATGTTACTGAATAGTAATTTGCTGTTCTAAAACTACCTAATAAATGTACATTCTCTTGCGTTTGTTGTAATGGGCTTTATTTTAATCATCTGTGAAATGAGATAACAAGAGCAGGGTTAACTCACGGGGCTGTTGTGAGTGAATCATAACAAGGTGCTTAGTGCCTTTGACAACCTGGGGCCACCTTCCTTTTTCACCTGATTCCCTAGAACACATTAGAAACTGTAAAGGTGAGACCAACTACTGCAGGCTGCATTCATTCTTCTCGACTATAAACAAACAAACAAGCAATGAACACGAAACTGAAGCCCAGAGGGGTCAGTAGACTGGCCAAAGCCAACAAGTGACCGAGGAGAACCAAAAAAACAGGTCTCTGGGCCCCTTTAACCTATGCTTGGTGCAGTTCTACCAACATTTATGTGCATGAGGTGGATAGTAAATGCACAAATGTTGCAGGAGGTGAAGGATGCCCCCAGCTTTCTGAAGAACCACAAAATCCTCCTCTGAGTGTGTGGAAGGACCATGTGGGGAAGACCTGCTGGCCTACCTTGGGTTACACCCATGGTCGCCTGAGAATTAATTGAAACACACTGTTTAGTTTATTTAAACCAGGGGTCCTCAAACTACGGCCCGCGGGCCACATGCGGCCCGCCGAGGACATTTATCCGGCCCACTGGGTGTTTTTGCCGCCGCTGCCTGTGCTGCCTAGCAGCCGGCTCGTCTGGCCCGCAGTACACATGTGTGGAATGTGCATTGCACTCTCCGACTCCCTTCCTTCTCTCTGTCTCTCGACTCCTCCTCTCAGTCTAGACTAACTGATGCACATTTGCATCACTTGTTACGACTAGCAGTGACAAATATGGAGCCAGACATTGACCATCTCATTAGCCAACAGCAGGCCCATAGTTCCCATTGAAATACTGGTAAGTTTGTTGATTTAACTTTACTTGTTCTTCATTTTAAATATTGTATTTGTTCCCGTTTTGCTTTTTCACTTCAAAATAAGATATGTGCAGTGTGCAGAGGAATTTGTTCATAGTTTTTTTTTTTTTAAACTATAGTCCGCCCCTCCAACGGTCTGAGGGACAGTGAGCTGGCCCCCTGTTTTAAAAGTCTGAGGACCCCTGATGTAGACACTCAGCATGGTAATGTGACTGGGGTGAAAGGAAGGATGGCCCCTCCTCCCACAGCTCTGTTCTAGATAGTAAGTGTGACATTCCTGGTGTGTCCTGGAGCGGGTAAGGCCTCAACTCACCCGTTTTTGGGTCTCACTGTGGATTTTGTGTATTCACAATGAAAAGAGGCAGCTTGCTCAGGCAAAGGTGAGTAGTATCTGGTGCAAATAGTTAATTTTTAATCAAAAGGTGAATGTTTACCCATTTATATACTGCAAGAACCCTGCACACTCAGCTACTTAAAATGACACAGGTCCAGGGCAGCTGATGAAAGTCAAGGTCTAGTACTTGGATATGCACTGTAGACATTTTACATCCCTTTAATACACACATAGTGCCACTTTCAGTACCACATTGACTGGTGATCTTTCCAATGCATTTTCCCCAAACTTTTTGGAAAAATTCTTTTCAGGGGTACCGCAACTATGAAGACCACAGTGTCATGAAACGCAAAAGCAATCACCAGTGACAGTCACATTACCATGCTGAGTGTCTAAATAAACTAAACAGTGTGTTTCAATTAGATCCTCAGGCGACCATGGGTGTAGCCCAAGGTCTTCCCCGCATGGTCCTTCCACACACTCCAAGGAGGATTTTGTGGTTCTTCAGAAAGCTGGGGACCGAGAGACCTCCTGATGACCAGGGCATAGGTTTATTACAGCTGCGCTGGAGAAGGGACTGAGATTCGTGGGAGGTCTGCGAAAGTTTCAATGCCCCATGCAGTGTGGCACTGAGAATGCTGCAGACACTATTTGCCCTAGAGTTGGAGCTGCTTAATCTGTGATCTTTTTTAACGCGCTTCCTGCTCTCTGTCCTCCTGCTGTCCAGATACTCTGAAAAATAATCACAGCATCACTCAGGATTTCAGCCGATGTTTTACTTTAAAAGAAAAGAACTCGTCTTCATGGCAGACTTTAGACTGTGAAAGTTTCATTTTCAAAATGTTTAAATGTTTAGAAAACAAGGATAATTGAGGTAGAAATGTATTTTACAACCCTAAAAAAAGGGCACTTCTCGTTCCTCTCCTGCCAAGTGAAGGCCAGAATTTTTGTTTTTAACCTTGACCTTTAGTAGCATGACCTGTTCATCTGGTTATCTGAGTACATCACTTTGACAAAATATTCAGTTCATATAAGTCACTGTTCCCTTGGGAAGGAGTGCTTTTCCTTTTCTCATTCATTGCAGGGATATGGTGGGGTATATCGGGGTCTTCCAGAATAGAGTGAGGCCCTGTCTCCCAGGTATCAGGCTTCAGGACGTGTCTGTCCTAAATGCTGTACGTGTGAGATCCCATTGAATCCTCACAGTAAAAGTATGTGTTACTTTCTAATTAACCTTATTATAAAAATGACCTACTAAGGCTTAGATTGGTTAATTAGTGTGTCCACCCTCCCAGGACAATAGAGAGGTGGAGCAGAGATTGCAAGGCAGATCCACTGACCAGCATCTCCAGAGAGGCACATGGCTGGGCCGATAACCTGGCAGTGGCACTATATGTGTATGAAATGGACATAAAAATGACCTTGGCCTCCGTCAGCCTTCACTGGACCTGGTCATTTTGGGAAGCTGGGTGTGTAGGATTCTTGCAGTGTATAAATGGGTAAACATTCACCTTTTGATTAAAAATTTGCTGTTTGCACCAGATGGTACACGCTGTCTTCCTAAGTGGCTCTTGGTTGTAAGAGAGACTAACTCTTCCTGATGACACCAATCACAACTGACAGCAGCAGGTACAGTGGAGAGAAGAC